TTCTGGTGCTGACAGGAGTTACACAGGGACTGTGAGAACTGAACTCGTGACCGTGAACGCTACACTGATGGTTACAGAACTGTGATCTCTTTAACAATCTGTGCTTTATTTTGTAGATTCTCATGGGTACGTGGGTTAAAGAAATGTGACGAGACAAAAGATATCTAGTAGATTCGGCAGTTAAACACCATGGTCAAGAAAATTGCCTCCATATTTCTTCTAGCATCATTGATCACTGTATAAAGCTGTTTGTGCTCTCAACAACCTGTTTTGTTGGGGGGAGGGGCGGGGAGATTGCTCAGAAAAGGAGTAACTGGGTGGGAATGGTCATGAAAAAATTAGTGCTGCCGCCTCCCAGCACAGGGGTACTGGGCTCAATTCTGGACTGGCACACCTGTCTGAGTGGAGTTTGCATGTTTGCTCCAGGTGATCCAGTTTCTTCCCGTGTCCCAAAATCCAGTAGTTCTATGAGGTGCAGGGGTGAGGCCCTTTCCCAATTTATTTTCCCAGTCTGTGGGAGCTTTGCTACAACGTCGACCCCAGGACAGTGTACAGAAAAGTGTAAATTGAAGCAGAGAAGATGGCAACATACAGTACCAGCAAACAACACACCCATTGAAACCTGATCAGTAGGTGAAGCACAGTGTTTATTACCAGGAGGTTCCCAGTTCAAGTCCAAGCCATGCCACCCACTCCCTGGACCCTCCTTTCCTCCTTCCTTCAGACAACACATCAAATCCTTACTCATGTTGTCGGGAACCTTGCAGCACAGTAACGTCTGGATCAAACGTGTCGGCAAATTTGTGAACAAAACGATTAACAGATAAAAAATGTCCCAACCAGCATTTCAGAAAAAGGAAGTACAGCTTGAGAAAGAAACACGCATACTGCACCAGTTTATCAGAATCGATCTCCATACACGCGTTACTGCTGCAAAGGGCACTGTTGATCTTCTGCAGATTAACCCGCTGGCTGGTATGTTGCACAATAATGTGCCCAAACCACGTTTTAAACAATGTAAAAAAGCCAGATCTTCTACATAAAAATGCACAGAAACCACTTCATGAGCGCTCTCTGCAAAAAAAGCTTTTAAAAACATGCTCTCTGAAGTTTCATGTGCTGCAATTGAGAAACAAAGTGATTGTGCTGCCGATCCTGTATGTTTCTGAATGCAGGTCCTATCAAACACAGACCACTGTAAAATCACACCGAGGGCCTTAATGAACTCAACACCAGAGCGGGCTTGCAAATGGACTTGAGCTGTGCTGGGCAATGCTAACATACAGCTACCGCAGCAGTTTCACAAGCAGGCCTGTGGTATTAACACCTCCAAAATTAGGATGTCATTAGATATAAGATATAAGCGTAAAGCTTAACTCACTCTAGAGCTGGTGCCACCAGATGGATGCAAAGTAACACAGCACATATTTTAACTCCCATCCTCAATGTAATCACACTGGGGACAGCAGCTGAAGAACTGGTTCTGGCTTGTTTGGCTTTGATACAGATTTTACTCCATGGTTGCCAGGGCACTTTCTAATGCAAATAAACCTCACAGATAAAACAGAAAGTCCATTCCTACCAATCTTAACAGCTCCCTTCAGAACATTATGAACAAAGTTAGCAGTTTCGAACACCCCGTTGTGTAACGTGATGTCATGCCAGTTACAGATTGAAGACCCACTTTGACCTTTCACCCCTCTCTCCTTCCTTTCCTATTGGTCTACTAGGATGCATTGCCTCCAGATTCTTCTCCTATTGGTCCTCCCGGCCTTCAGCCACGCCTCCCCTAATCCCTTACTGAGCCAGCACTGGGAAATGTGGAAGAAGTTCCACCATAAGGAATACAGCAGCCAGGTAAGGCTTCAGAACAGCATTCTGGGAATTGTAGTGTCTTTGGTTCAGGACAGACAGAGGACAGATAGATGGGCTGGCACACTGGGCACTGGGCAACTTCATCATGGTCAGGGCAATATAGATATCATGGCCACTTTGCAATTAGTAACTCATTAAGACTTGAAAAGTCCGAAAGCAATGGCTGCAAGGCAGGACACATCCTGGACACATCCTGGATGAGCTGCTAGTCCATCACACAGCACAGACACAGGCATGATAAGATAAGATCAGATCTTTATTGGCCATATACAATTTTCTGTATTAGGAATTTGTTTTTTTGTATACTCCAACTTGCTCTCCATGAGACACACAGACAGGGAGAGAAGCTGGGGGTCAGAGCACAGGGTCAGCCATTTATACAGCGCCCCCGGAGCAGCTGGGGTGAAGGGCCTTGCTCAGGGGCCCAATGGAGTAGGATTTCTCTGCTGGCCACAGGATACAAACCGGCAACATGCCCGCACGCACCACCAGAGCAAGTTTTCCCAGAAGCCAATTACCCCACCAGCATGGCTTTGAGCTATGGGAGGAAACTGGAGCACCTGGGGGAAATGCACACAAATACAGGGAGAACATACAAACTCCACACAGACAGCACCCCAGGTCTGGAATCGAACCCAGGACCCCAGCGCTGTGAGGCAGCAATGCGGAGCGCCTCACCACTGTTCCACTGCCTTCCTCAGAATTAATTCAATCAAGTAATTAAAGATGACCAATGGGGTAAGAAACAGGGAGGGACTGAAATCTAGTAATAAATAGCAGTGTTTATCCACCACCTGGGGACAGTCCCTCAAGCTCCTATTAACACTCGCACAACACACTTCTGTTTTTAGGGGAAAAAATAAGCTGTCACTGATTCGGTGGAATTCCTAAAAATAAACACAAAAGCACTCAGTTCTCTATATGGGTGCATCATAAAGTCACCTGATCTTTACACACTGCTTGTGCTGTGTTTTATTTCAGTGTTGTTTAACTGTGTTGATAAATAGCAACTAACAACAGCAATTGTTATGTATGGCTACACACAGATTGTTGGTGGCTCTTCACTGTCTTTGTACTGGAGCACACTTGCAAATAACCATTTCATTGCACTTCTGCGTGATAAATAAACAGAACCCTGAACTGCGACTTCCACACGTGTGTGGGACCGATGTAATTCAGTAGGGAAGTTCTGCAAATTATGAGGTTCAGAGTACCTTTTACATGATTTCTGTTCTCCTTCTGAACGCGCACCTGTTTCCTTATTACTATCAATGCAGAAACAGAATTTGACAAAAACATTCTTGACATCGCCAAAACTAACGATTTGGGCGTGTCCCTCAAAATGCGAACGACTTTTACATTACTTTTACACAATGGCTTCTTTTTAAAAAAAAATTAAAAGTGCCAAACTATGTGTCCGGAGTCTAATTTTCACCCGAGACCGATTCGACTCGAGTGGGGGGAACGGGGGATACGGAACAGCCCACAGCAACAGAGCTCCAGCGCACAGACACGGGAAACGCCAACGCACGCGTCTCTCTCTGTCTCCACAGCGGGAGGAGGGCGAGAGGAGGCTGAACTGGGAGACGAATCTGCGGCTGACGGAGCTGCACAACCTCGAGGCTTCGCTGGGCCTGCACTCCTTCACCATGGGACTCAACCACCTGGCTGACATGGTAACCATTGTGACGCGGCAGGGGTTAGGCGACCGCGAGCCCCAGCCCGGTTCTCTCGACTACCACCCGATTACAGCCTCGAATCCCCATCTGACTGGACACCTCATTCACTTCACTAATCCTGTTAAGGCGCGGAGCTCAGAGATGGATTGAAAACCCGGGACCAGTCCTATGTCACGGGACTGGAGTTCCCCACCCCCGCGTGCTGTAAAAAGAAAATAATTTAAAAAAAACGGTGCGTCCTATCCTTCTCAATCCCCTGTGTTTTAACGGCTCAATACGTGCAGCAAATCATATGAACTGAACTATAGCTATAAAATAAATATATACAGTACATAAAATTAACTCTCCAAAACGAATTATTACTAGATGCCTGAAAATCCTCTTGTCCCGGGAGCCTACATGCGCGCAGCTGTTGGTGTTCGTTGTGTCTAATTATTTAATTGAAGTCTTAATTGAATAAGTTGCTTAATTGGAACAGTGGTTCATTTTCCCCCCACCGTTTAGAACCCCAAGAATTTTATTTTTTTTAATGAAAAGTCATATTTAAAAAGGTACTTTTGCAAATATAATCTAATAAAATGGGGGAGGCGATTCTGGCCAGAACCGATCGATCGAATTTAGGTCACAAAAATCGTGAAAGCAACGTCCGATGTGTGACAAGATATTTCAAATCCGTTGCTCGTGTTGAAGGGGAACTATTTCCGCGAGAAACGCACGAACCGCGCGCAAGACCCGTGTGCCCCCCGCGTGCCCCCCGCGTGGAAACTGACGCGTGTCTCTGCGCTCGCCCAGACGCCGGAGGAGGTGGACGCCAGGCTGAACGGGCTCCTGGTGCCCGAGGACCTCGATGCCAACCTGACCGTGGCTCTGCCGCTAGATGGCGCCCTTCCGCCGACGGTCGACTGGCGGAAAAACGGGCTGGTGTCTGACGTTAAAAGCCAGGTATGTTTCGCCCACTGCCAGAAAGAGACAGAAAGTGGGAACTCGTTGGCTAACGCTCCTGTTGCGTGTTTTTTTAATGTTTTTGATATATGGATTTATAGAAATGATAGCGGGTTTGTTTCCACCGGAAATTATTGCCGATGCACATTTAAGCAGCAGAGATATTTTCACTCTGTCCTCCACGCTGTTCTCCGCGTGGGGCTGCCTATTCTACCAGCACCTGCTGTGTCCAGGTTGATAGGTCAAGACAAAACACAGCCTAGACAGGGTTCGCTTAAAACAAAGAAAAAAACGATGTAGACTTCTGCACGCTACAGTAAGCGGACGAATGCGAGACTTTCGCAAAACTCCTCCGTGTTTCGGCGAACGAGCGGAACCTCGGGAGTTTCGGGGTTCCGCGAGACGCTCCGAACCCCCCCTCCGCCCCTCCGCCGTGTCCCCGCAGGGCTCGTGCGGCTCCTGCTGGGCCTTCAGCTCGGCCGGGGCGCTGGAGGCGCGGATGAAGAAGCGGACGGGCCGCCTGGTGTCCCTCAGCCCGCAGAACCTGGTGGACTGCAGCCGGAGCTACGGGAACCACGGCTGCAACGGCGGCTACCTCTCCAAGGCCTTCCAGTACGTCGTCCAGAACGAGGGCCTGGACTCCGACAGCTTCTACCCCTACGAGTTCAAGGTGAGGAGGGGAGGGGGGGGGGCTTTCTTCCGTGTGTGTGTCTGTGTCTCGCTGCGCTGGGGCCCTGGGTGCCATTCCGGACCTGGGGTGCTGTCTGTGTGGAGTTTGCACGGTCTTTGGCCCGGTGCTCTGGTCTCCTGCCCCAGTGAATTGGCTTCTGGGAAAACTCGCTCTGGTGCGAGTGGTCTGGCTGCCCGCCCTGCGGCAAACTGGTGTCCCATCCTGGGTGCGTCCTTCCTTGCTCCCGTCACCTGGGATAGGCTCGGGCTCCCCAGCAACTTCCGAATCGGAGCAAGCAGTTAGAAAATCGCTGGATGGGCTTCCTACCGATTTATCTGATTCTGAACCCTCATTTGGAGACAGTTTCCAACCAAACCCCCGTTTGGAAGGGAGAAACGTCCACTTCAGGCGTCCGCTCCAGGCGGCGAAGATTCATTCCAGCTCGCTGAGCTCAGCAGGAGCAACTGCAGGCCAAGATCCAGGATGACACAGGCTCACGATGAGTCGGAGCTCGCTAACAGGCACTGGGATAGCTGTGGACTGGCTCTCTCATCCATCACAGCTGCATGGGACTTTCCTTTCCAGAGCCATTCACACACAGCGGGAGGGATCCCTCGGGAAACGTCGTGTAGTGTGACAGTGGCGTGAGGTGGAGGAGCCAGGCCCTGCTTCTCTGAGAGAGTCCTGGTGCTGCTGCTTTCACTGAGCTTCCACACTGCTTGATTCGAACATTTGCAACTTGTCGTCTCTCCCCCCCCCCTGCTTTGTCTACTCAAAGGTTCTGGGGGGGATTTTCCATGCAGTCCCGGAATGGGCATGGGAAAAGGAATGTGTTAAGGGCCGGAAGTCAGACGTCAGCCAGGGGGTCCGAGTGTGAAAGTGGCCTGGAGGCCAGTGGGCGTGAGGGCAGGGCGCCCC